GTCCCTTCTTCCTCTCCCTCATGGGTGAATGTGACTAGAATACCCCCAACCCCTGAGTGGCTGGCTCAGGGCAGGGCATGTGACCCAGGCCCAGACATAGAGTCCTCCCTGGGCCCTTGCCATAGTTACTGGGAAATATACCCATCATCCATGACAGTAAGCTATGCAAACAATATTGCCTTATGATGGCCAGTGGCCATCTTGCTCCACTTAGAAACAGCTAGTTTGCAAATGCAGCTAAGTAATACTGAGAGAGAGTAAATAATCCCAATGGCATCATCAATGGCCAAATCCAGCCACTCCTGAACCACTATTTTATTTTGTTTTTTTGAGACAGAGTCTCACTTCGTCACCCTCAGTAGAGTGCCGTGGTGTTGCAGCTCACAGCAACCTCACACTCTTGGGCTCAGCGCAAGCCTCCCAAGCACAATGCCTGGCTATCTTTTTTTTGAGACAGAGCCTCAAGCTGTCGCCCTAGGTAGAGTGCTGTGCCATCACAGCTCACAGCAACCTCCAACTCCTGGGCTCAAGCGATTCTCCTGCCTCTGCCTCCCAAGTAGCTGGGACTAGAGGCCTGCCACAATGCCTGGCTATTTTTTGGTTACAGCCATCATTGTTGTTTGGCGGGCCTGGGCTGAATTTGAACCTGTATGTGGCTGGCACATTAGCCACTTGAGCCACAGGTGCCAAGCCATCGGCTTTTTTTTTTTTTTAAGAGACGAGGTCTCATTCTTGCTCAGGCTGGTCTTAAACCTGTGAGCTCAGGCAATCCACCCACCTGGGCCTGCCAGAGTGCTAGGATCACGGGCATGAGCCACTACACCGAGCCAATTAAGCGATTCTCTTGTCTCAGCCTTCCAAGTAGCTGGGACTACAGGTGCCCGCCACAATGCCTAGCTATTTTTTTAAAGATGAGGTCTCATTCTGACTCAGTCTGTTCTCAAACTCATGAGCTCAGTCAATCTACCCGCCTTTGCCTCCCAGAGTGCTGGGATTATAGGCGTGAGCCACCATGGCCAGCCCCTGAACCATTATTTTGATCCCTCAATTATCAGGTCCATAGATTCCCCTCTTTGCTTAAGTTAGGTTGAATTGTGTCCTTGTCATTTGCAATCAAGAGCCCTGAGTAAGTCCCCTACCCAGACTGGGAAGGAGAATACAGTCCTGAATTGATTGGGTCTGATGTCTTAACATGCACAGCCTAAGCCCTGGCAGTGGCTTTCTGCCCCTGTTCCTACCCCTCACTTTGGAGGCCTGTGCCAGCAGCAGTCCAGCCCACAGACGCCAGGCACAATTGCTTTCCCTCAAAGCACCCAGTGTTCACTCCAAGGCCAGCTTCAGTTCCATGGAACCCAAAGGGAGCTCCTCCACGGCAGGCTTCGTCCATAGCACCTGTGTGGTGTAACAGCCGCGGCCGCTGTCTGTCACCACATTCCCCTATTGTTCACCCACTTGTTCATGCCCCAAGGATGTCCGAAGCTGTCCCAGGTGATTCCAGACCCTGGCTGGTCTCCCCGGCTCCACATTCAGGCTCCATCATCCACCTCTGAACACCTCAGGTTTGCTGGTCGTCTGGACTAGTGTAACCAGAAAGAACATGGAAAGGAAGCCCTGCCCGCAGGCATGAAAACTGCAGCAGTAATGCGAAGGGAGTGTGCACGTCCATGAGCATCCCTCAAATGAGCATCATCCTGTGATCCAAGAATCCCAAGGAACAAGGCCCCATCCCTATGACATTGCCTCACTCTCTAGTCAGATCTCACCAGATGGGTCAGAATGTGAAAGCAGGTACCAAACTGTTTAATGAATGTACATGTAAGATTTGCAAGAAGGAGGCAAAAAAGGATAAACTGGGCCAGGCACAGTGGCTCACTCCTGTAATCCCGTAAGCCCTCCGGGAGGCTGAGGCAGGAGGATCACTTGAGCTCATGGCATGGCACTTTACCCAGAGTGACACAGTGAAACTGTCTCAGAAAAATAAGTAAAAGAAAATAAAGAAAAGGAAAACAAGAAAGAAAGGTATGGGGTGATACAATATATGAGCATCCATGTAGATTAGATGGAAGAGTCAGAGGTGTCTCTGAGAAAGTGACAGAAAAATGGGAGGCCAGTAGAGTGAGTCAGGCATACTTTATAGGCACATAACAGGTGTTTGCTAAATAGTTGCAGAACAAGTAAGTGACTAATGGATCAGAAAACCCTAGTGTGTACCCCCATGTCCCTCCAGACACAACTTCCCCATCTTTCATCACCCTGATAGGTCATTCCAACCGGCCCCTTGAGGAGCTTGACAGCCAACACACCTCCTATGGACAGCAGGATATGTCTACCTGTGCCATAAGATGTGCTTGCCAAGACTTAAGGTGGCTCTCCACTCAGAATTCCCTCACAACTTCCCTGATATTGCCATCATCCATCTCTGCCCATCCCCACTGGAAAAGCAAGTGGGTTTTGTCTTGCATGCAGACTCCAGATCACTGCTAATGGCTGCCTAGGACACCATGCTTAAAAGGCCTATAAGGCTGCTTCTGGGTCAGTGGGGAAGCACTGTGATTGATTAGTTATGTCTGCCACTGGAGCAGGAGTAGACAGCAACAGTATGTGTGCCATGCAGTTTCCCTGTCACACAGGGTCCCACCCTGTGATCCCCCAGGCAAGAAATTTTCTTCTGATCTAATTGTGTAGAAGAATATTCAGTATCAGAGATACCCTTTTCCTTATGGATCACATGAAGTATTTTGCTGCTATTTTTTTTCCTGCCATGACTGCTTATTAGCTCAGAGCTAAATGTGTGCTTCAAATATAGTATCAATAAGCTGTGTACAGTTTACTATACATACTGTACATAATGTCTGTGTACAGTGTGGCCTGAATATGTAGTTCAACTCTCTCCCTGGTTTCAACCAACCAGTTAATCTATATTTTTCCTGATCTTA